TTCGTAATTTTTCTTTAGTGCTTACAATTACGAGTGGAACTTTATCAACTTCTTTTCTCTGAGTGTGGCCGTTCCTATTTGAAAGCTCAGCTCTTTGCTTGATTGCATACCATATCTTTATTTTTATTTTAACCTATTCAGCAGCAAATTAGAAAAGCAAACATGCCTCCACCAAAATACACAACCCGTCTTACTTGAAACAGCAAATAACATGCATAATGCAAAGAGCATTATGACCTTTTAAGTCAAAACATTACCATGTGCTCCAAAAAATGGTTAGTTAAGTCACATTTTGCTGAGACACCTCTTCGGTCAGCACAGTATTAACTTTTCTGACACTGCTATACTCCAGAATTATTGCATTCAAAAACTCTTAAGTGCTAATCAAAAACGATACATTGCTCAAGTGATCATCTCCTTCTCTCTTACCATCAACATAAGGATCATGTTTGTTTCAAACCTAACATTAAAATTTCTTATGTTGCAACTGCCCATATTCATAAGGCAATCATATAAGATCAGAAGCGGGAGTAAAAAGGTTTTTTTTTTGTTTGCTACTGGTTTTTAATGAAGTGATAATATATCAAGATTTCTATTACGTTGATAGGCTAGCGGTTGAACGGATGCTACAGGACAGGCTGAGCAAGGTCGCAGATTGGTGTGAGGAATACAATGCGGTCATAAATCCTGACAAAGCACAGGTCATCTGGTGCTCACTACACAACCGTATTGTGAAAGATCCTACCCCTACAATTATGTTTGACAACTTTCTCATAGACAGACAGCATGAGTTGAAGTACCTGGGAATCACTCTTGACAGGACACTTTCTTTCCGAACACATATTGACAATGTTGCTGTCAGGGCTCAGAAGGGCATCAATGTAGTGAAGACCTTGGCTTCAGCGGGAATTCAACAGAGAGTTCTTTTTCTCCTAATGCAGTTCTGTTGGTTCTGTCAGTCATAGACTATGGTCTGGGAATCCTCTCCCTGTCCAAGACTCAGATAGACAGGTTGGAGAGAGTACAGAATGCAGCTATGTGGGTCGTTCTAGGTTGCACTAAGGACACCCATGTTGTCTGTATGAGATACATCCTTGACCTGGCAAGCAATAAAGTGAGGCATAAGGTGGCACAGGCAAAGCTGTACTTGAATGTTTTGGCAGACCTGAGGCATCCTTTGCATGACAACCTTAGCAGCATCAAAGGAAGCAGAATGAAACGGGGCAGCTCATGGAGGTCAGAAGCCAAAGACTTCTTGGGAAAAGTTTGTGGCATTGATGAAATATGCTGTGGATAGGAATGGTTTGAACTGAGCCCCGATTGCAGAAGCCTAGCCAACGTTCACATCACTATGGGTCATGAAAGACGGGAATATGCTGCTGTCATTTACGATAATGACATACGGCAGTTATTTGTGGAGTATTCCAAGTCAGAGGACCCAGTGATCTATACGGATGGATCGGTCAGGAGGGGTGAGAGAAGTGGATTGGGTTTTGTGGTGTACAGTGAGAACAAAAAGTTCATAGCATGTCATGGGCCATAGAAAGAACAACTTCAAGCATGAAAATGGAAATTGAGGCCGTAAGAAGAGCGCTTGGCTTGATTGAAAATACGAGACCAAGAACTACCCATCTAGTCATTGTCACAGACTCCCAGAGCATCCAGCGAAGGGTTGAGAAAGAGCTTCTTGGGAGTGATTGGATGAACCCAATACAACACTCATCACTTAGAGCCAACACGTAGATATTCTGTCCTGGGCACTCTGGAGTGAAAGGCAATGAGGAGGCTGATAGGCTGGCAAGCAGTGCCGTGGTTGATGGTGAGGTGAAATTTGACAAAGGAGAAGTGTTGAAGACCCTCATGAAAAACTTGCGGGATGAAGAAGACAGGGAGACAGTAGAACACCACGCAATCATTAGGATACGAGAAATAGAGATAGAGAAAGGAGAAGGAAGAAAGGAACGCATATTTCTTTACAATGTATGAGACTGGGTTCTTTCTTTCGCTCTTTCTTTGAGAATAACTATTTCGATATTTCATACTTCTGAGTTGTTTCCTTGTCACCGAGGCATTTTTTCGAATAGAATGTATAAAATGAAATTTATTGTATTGTACTATGCTGAAAATAAATAGTTATTAATACTTCTTGACGACAGCTGCAACCATTAAATCTATCTATCTATCTATCTATCTATCTATCTATCTATCTATCTATCTATCTATCTCTATGTTCCTGTAACACACTCTCACATGTCTCCTTGACTTACTTGCCACTTCACTGTTGGTATTTCGACAGGTTGAACTGACGTTACCTTTATTGCTCGGGTGTTGTGATTAGTATCGATATATTCTTACATTATCACGTTTAACGATCATAATTCTCTGGAACGTTAGAAGAAAATCGCGCCTCATTTTTCTGTGAACTTGCACTCTTACATGAGAGTTTTTTGTAAATGGCGTTTGGGCAAAACCATCAGAATCTCCTCACTTTATTTGACGTGTCACTAGGAAATTCACATTTTTTAAACAAAAATCGTTTTCCTTGCTGAGGTTTTAATGATCAGATTATCTGTACAACTATGAGAACCGACAAATTCAAACAGCTTCCAATCTCTTCTGTTTGTTTTTTAATTCCAAAGAGCACGAATTCTCCTTATGGGTTAGGAATTAGCCCCCCCCCCCCCCCCTCCCCCCTCACTAGAAACCCAACCTCAATTTCCATTAAAAATAATATGAATCTACCAAAAATAATCAGAGTTCTTTAAGTTTTAGAGAGAGCTATTACGTATTGATGTGTGGCATTTATTTTGTGAAGAACAGAAACAGAAACGTAGCTATTCATCTGAACCGAGAACGTAGCGAAATTGAGTATCGTGTCATTACAGAGTTTAGTTTCCATAGACTGTCAATTTAAATTCGTGGACCTGGTGAGGCAAAAAAAAATCGAGAAAAGGCGCACAACTCTTGAATGACGCTGCCATTTCTTTGTAGCATGGGTGCAGCCACCACAGAAAGAAAAAGGGAAAGAGCTGAGTGCTTCATAGAATATGATTATTCACTTAGTCGCTGTTCTCGAGGAATAATAAGTACAACTTTTACAGGTAGATCTACATTGATGCATTATAGAATGGACATTTACCTGAGTCAGTTGCTTATCAATTTTTCTCGGAAGAAATTAATGGGACTAACGTCTATATAAATGGCATCTAGTCACTTCATCTGGAAACTAGCATTAAACTTTCTATACTATACAACACGTGGAGAAAGGATTAATTGTAGTGGGTTACTTTCTAATTAACAAATTATGCCTTGATCTAAATTCGAAAACGTATTGTTGGTGGTTAATGTATTTTCTGATAGGACCACAAAAGACATTAATATAAAGACAGCATACTAACAATTATTGAAGTCATTATTTAGTCTTTTGCCTCAACTCTGTCATGTTTCATTTTTTTTCTTGTAAACACAGCACTAATCTTTGGAAATTAGCTACTACACCAATGGTGAAAATGTTAATATTGCCTTAAAGATGAAATCTTAGTGTATTCCATTGACTATCTGTTGTTTGTGTGTAGGACGTTTGTTTAGTAAATTCGTTGAAAAGTTATGGAGTTTTCATGACAATCTGTGACATCACCCAATTACGTTCAGCCTCAACACGTTGTTGAACCTCTGTCCCCATTGCTGAAGTTAGGTCACCTTCCCGTTGCAACAGAGAAAAAAGAGGGAGAGAAAAAGTCTGGTAAGGGCAATAAAAAGAGAAGTGAGGCCAAACAATTTCTCCAAACCGTTCTGTTTAGCAACACCAGCTCACTGAATAACAAAATGGACGAACTATCTGCGAGCTCAAATACCAACAACATAAATTCCTCGAATTTTTATTTCTGGCCATCCTCAAAATATAGTTTAAGGACGGTTTCAATTAACTAAAAACGCTATTGTGGATTTTATACCATTCGAACAACGGCGGCTGGAAAGATGAGGGGTGGTGGCGATTGCCTGTACATTAATGAACGATAGGTGCGCAAGAACAATCTGACTGCAAAACAACCTGAATAGATTTGTGACGTGTAAACACAACGATAATGCAGAGTTTTTAGAACATCCTTGGGAGGAATGAAATGAGTTCTAAGATCGCCGATGTCTGTATTAGATTTAGCACTTTTTGATGCACAAAAATACAAACAAACACAAAGAAGTCAATGAAAAAGCAACAACAGGACAACTGAGAAAGCTGAAAGACGTAGAATTTATTTTGCAGTAACAATATCTTATCTTATTAAATTCTTAAACATTTTGAAATTTATGTCAACATTCAACATGAAACCGATAACAATGTCTTACTGTGGCAACTGTACAAATTTGAATAAAGAAACGAAAGAAAGTCAATTAGGCATTATTACCTGTATGTCGTCATTGTCTCAGAGTAGTCATGCTTGGTACGGTATTTCAATGTTAGTGTTTTATGTCCCTATTGGCAATATTTAGATCCCTAATTTTAGTAGGCGGACTTTGACCCTGCCTATCTTAGCCGACCGGGGCTGAAATAGATACAGCCTCCCATCTAAAAGATTGCGTAAAACATCAATGTCGAACCCCCCCCCCCCCCCCAGAAATAATAGGATTAACTAAGATGCAACAGCTTCTTGAGGCTTATGTTGATTCTTGTTGATTGTTCTTTGGTAAGTATACTCGTGAAAGTCCGCATCCTCTGGCCCGATTGCGTGGACTCGTTATGCGCAAATGTGTGCCATTGTATCAGTATCGCTGGGTGCTATGAATTTCTGAGACTATTACATTAGGTGAGAAAGCGATACTTGTCAGTGCTCTGCACTGTGAACTGCCAATGGACACCCTGCATATGAAAATGTTTAGTTTCCTTTTGCTAGTAAAAGAATGTCTTTTTGTTTGATTTCTTTCAAACATAAATAATACTTGCACCAATACTGTAAGCAATGGTAAAACGGACTTCCCCCAAACCCCCACCCATGCAAGGTAGATGTAGAAAATGTACGTTTAAACAATATTATTTATTTTCCTATCTTTCTTTAATTTGAGGAAACTAAAAGAAACGTCAATATATTCTGGGGTATGTTAAAAGCAGATGGAGAGTTCAGGGAGGGATTGTTATATTGACAGAAATGTGTTTTTCTTCATAAGTGTCTTGTTTCCAAAACTTGGCAATCTGGTGTGCGTCGACACAAAACATTAATGCTATCTCTGAATATTATTCAATTTCCTTCTGTTTGATCAGGAAAAAGGATCTGCTCATGAAATGTAATGAACCTTACAGTGTACCAGTTCTGAAAATTGTTTTATGATAATAGTAATACAGCCAAGAAGAATGTCCACCTGGGACAATAATGCATTATCTTATCTTATCTTATCTTAGTGAAAATTTTCTTTAAAGTTATTTTAAGCAGTGTTTTCATGGTACAAAAACACTATAGTTTTAAAGGTGGAAACTATTTGGTAAACTTTTCCATTTTAAAAATTTAGATCTTCCTTTTTATCCTCTATATTCTGATATCATAACCAGCTCCCAATTTCAGTTATGTTACATGTCCATCCACCACTTCAAAGTGAACAAACTTAATTTAGCAACATATACCCATTGCGTGAAGAGGATGTCATTTAATCAGATGAGCATAGTAGTAATATCAGTCAAGTTTCGACATCAAGAAAATACAAAATACAAGTATTATAAGTATTATTGTGTTATTGGACATAGCATGTTCATTGTGCATCTAAGATGAAAACATGTACGAGGAAGAATGTTCCATCTGAAAGTCCTCAACAAAGTGGACTTAAGTGTTTTCCAAACGTCTGTTGGGTTCAATATTGGCCAAAAAAAAAACAATCTTTGATCACAAGGGAGTGAAAACATAGATGAATATTACGGCTTATTGTGCCACACGCAGTAGAAAAAGATTAACATTTCAAAAAATATTATTTTGGAACAAATTACAAAATATCTTCATTATGCTGATCTAGCTGGCCAGCAAAATAATAAGTAAACAAAATATTGCACTTTGAGTACTGAGTGCTCTACAGTTACCTAAAATCTTAAAACATGACATGGTATTATCTTTCCTGTATGTACTTTTATTAAAAGTGTCAAAATGTATCACTGCTAAAGCTTGGATACGGTAAACATCATAAGGTATTATTATGAATTAACGAAAAGTAGACCTGAAATCGCCAGCCATTCTGCAAACCGGCCGTACAGAGGAAATGGTATGCAGGTGAGGACTACAAGGAGAGAAAGGGAATTACGACCTTTGCAACAGTATGAGCTATGACCCTCGAATTTAGGCGATTCAATGTCTTTACCGTTCTCCATAGCATAAAACAGCAACCGTCCGAAGACAGCAGAAAATAAACACTGAACATGCTTCCAAATGTCCTCTTGTTCCAGTTATGTTTTGTTTTGTTTCACACTCCAGTCTTGATAAAAAGGCGAAACCAGAAATCAGGATGCCTCTTCTTGCACCAGATCAGCAGACAGGGCACAAGAAGGAAGTAAAAGCCTCGCCATATGTACTTGCTGAGTCGTCTGACCTTTTCTCTGAGGAAAACAAAACGATGTTACAACAGGCTCCTAAAATACGTTCTGGTTGTTGCTTTTTAAATACAGGAAAGAACATTTTAAAAAGCCAACCCGAAGTCCTTAGAAAAAGACAAACTGATTGTGATTAATAATGTTTGCAACATGTTTTTGGTTTTGGACTTTAAGAGAAGGGTAAAAGAAGCATGGGGCCTACCTGTTTCTTTTATAAATTCAACATTCTTGAAGCTACTCGTATATTTAATTTATTCCAGCACAGAGCCCACATTGTTTCCACCAGTTCTCCAAGCCATGTTTTGCTTCATCTTTCTAAGATGATAATAATGTTATCTCTAAGTCTGGTTAACCATTTTCCTGTCTATCAGATTAGGATCAGCTAGACATTAAATTGTATAACACATCATATTCCACTATCGATTGCTATTTTAATTTATTTTTTAAAGTTTAATTTGGTGTGCACTTAAAACTAGGGTTATTGACTCAAAATTATGAATTAGGTATATTTATGAAAGAAAATGTGATGGATCTTTTTTAACGTTCAAAAAAAGACATATTATTTGAAATATTTAACTAATTTCAACGCCCCAGAAACCTATACTTGCTGTGTACTACGATATGTTAAAAGAACCCCAGATATTATAATTAATTGAAAGAGAGCATTTTCGAGTATGCCAAGTTGGACGTCATTTTTTTTTTCTAAATACATAACCACTTAACGGTTATTCTTCTTTTATACGTGTGCAAATCTTGTTAGTGAGTCAAAAGTATTCATTGCAATGTTCAATACGTCTCTACAGACCTGGCTAACGGCTTGACCTTCCTGTGGCAAACCATACTGAGATCTTCCTCGTACATCTGATGGCATGTACGGCGCGCCTCCTCCCATGTGCTGTCTGGGCCCAGGAGACGGTAGGAGGCGGGAAACCAAGGACCAGCCCAGGTGCGGTAGGCAAGACGTGGGTCTTTAAAGAACAAGGTCCAGAAGTGTGGGTAGACTCCCAAAACTTGGGCCATCTCCTCAGAGAAGTGCACGAGGGGTACCTGGTCGAGGTCGCATAACTCTTGTTAGAAATGCATGGCCAGTCAACTGAAAAAGCTGAGCCCTCAATAAAAAACAGATAAAATTTACACTTTCACTTACACACACACACACACACACACACACACACACACACACACACAAACACACGCACGCGCACAGACACATGCACTCACATATGCACATACACATACACACATACACATATGCATACTTTACACACACAATTACACACATGTACACACACATAATATACAAACTCGCCATGCTGTTCATCATAGAATCTTACAATGAAATTGATTACAAGTAGAGAGAGAAAAACACACTAAAAAGTGTAATTTGTTCCCTAAACTTCAATACTGGCATACGGAATGGTTGTGTTACTCACACTCTAGGCAAATACGCTGGGCGTAGAACGACATCTCGCACTCTAGTTAATATTCGTACAACAAAGAAAGGTTAGTTATAACTTGGAAATAAGAACCCATTACAGAGACCACCGTTTTCTAATGAGCCCAACCTTCTTATCAGACCTCCCGGTCTTTTCTGTGGGACTTCGTATCCCTCCTGCCAATTTTGGTCATAATAGGCAGGACCGAAGCTCGCCTCCTCAGTGATCTAAATTATGTATATAGGTGAGTAAAGAACAATTCACTTTACAAAGCTCGTCCTCGTGTTCTCTCGTGCTGCACTGGAGCAGAAACCAAGGAACACCCTCGACCGAGTTGTAACGGTAAGAATGGCTGATTATGTGTCAGCATAAATCTTAAGAGTCTATGTGCGTATGCAGCTCCATGCACATGTAGTTTGTAGTAAGATGAATCTGTTACAAAGCGCACACCGATGGATTACATTGAAGAGGGGGAGAACTGCACCTTTGAAAATATCTACATCATAATAATAAAAATGATTTATAATCATTATCATAACTACTATTTTTATTATTATTATTATTATTATTATTATTATTATTATTATTATTATTATTATCACTATTAACGTTCCCCTTTTAAATAAGTATATACAGGAGCAACTCACAACAGGGTTTCTTTTACTCTTCTTCCTCGACCAACTGATCTTGTTCCAGTATTCTACATCCTTTTTCAGCAAAGGAGCAGCGGGGAGATTGTATTTTCCTGACATTACTCTCGTTGCTAAGCGACACTGAAGCTCCATGGGAGGTAACATGGCGGAGTCACTCCCGTAATGGCCGACGAAGGCAAGAGTATTGTGTCGCGCGGTCATCGGGAAAGTGAACTTGTACATCTCCACACCACCATCTTCCGAGTGAGTAGCTTTGGAAACAAAAACAGTCCACACATTTAAGAATAGCGTTGCATTGTATAAAAAAAATTAGAACTGTCTGATTTTAAAATTGAATTGGATTTGAGAAATTGGAAATTGTGATTGTATAGTTTGAATTAGAGAAATTCAAAAACTGTGGCTGTACGCCTCAAAAACAACCAGTGCCAGCTACGCACTCTCAAAGATGTAGAAAATGTTTTTAAAAAGTTCGGCAAGTACAATAATCTAAACTCCCCCCTCCATTACCCCCATTTTTATACAACCCCCAATTGGCCATACACGCTTAAACATACAAATATACGCGCTTTCATAAGTAGAATCATGCACATACACACACGTAGTGCGCGCGCACACACACAAACACACACACACACACATACACACACACACACACACACACACATACATACATACAGGGACACTCACACACACGCGTGCGGACGCGCACTCATACAGAGAGAGAGAGAGAGAGAGAGAGAGAGAGAGAGAGAGAGAGAGAGAGAGAGAGAGATAGAGGGGGAGGGAAAGAAAGAGAGAGAGAGCAAGAGAGAGATCGAGAGAGAGGAAGAGAGAGAGAGAGAGAGAGAGACAGGGAGAGAGAGAGAGAGAGAGAGAGAGAAAGAGAGAGAGAGAGAGAGAGAGAGAGAGAGAGAGAGAGAGAGAGAGAGAGAGAGAGATTTAGAGAACTGTATGTGTATTGTGATATGAGTTCAAATTGAAAACATTTTTTTACATGTATGATCTTAAAAATCTGATAGAATAAAAATGTTATTGATTGTGTTTATTTTAGACTACAGGATAAGAGCTGTCTGTAGTAAAAGGGTTGCATTTATCTTTTTAAAGGACTTTATATTATGACCTGGACATTGTAAACTACCGAATCCGATCATGAACATTACTCTGATTATCGGGAAGCAAATTGTGCTGTTTTTATTATTTGCACCAAATATAAATTAAACTCACGCAATTAAAAGACTCATATCCGAGCAATAATAATATGCATCACGTTCCCATGGATAAAACATAAACAGTGTCTAGATAGGTTTGATGTAAGAGGTTGGGGGGATGGGGAGCAACAACACAGGCTCAAAAGGACAGAGAATTTTAGCAGAAAGATAAGAGAAATATGGAGATAATGAAAAGAAAAGGGGTGGTGCATAATATAAGCTTCACACAACCAACGCTGTGTTATTGTACCACCATTCTTTTACTTTCTAAAAAGAAATTCAAAAGAAAGTAATCATGTGTTCTACACGGGTTTGTACTGTAATGCCAGTAATTGAGATATCCACCTCGTAGTCTTCATTTGCCGGATTATATAACCATAGAAAACCCAATGAATTTCTCTGGTAAATTCATAGCTCATTCAGGCAGAGATAGATATTAATTGGATAATCTGCTACTTAATAACAGACATGCGTTCAACATTAATGTTTTACATATCAAAATTCAAACCTGGTCTGACATTTTCATCGAGGAACGAGAAATCTGAGTCATAGCCAGTGCAGTACACAACTGCATCCAGATCAGAGATACGCTGGCCATCGTCGAAAACAGCTTCTCTTTTGTTAAGCTCAGTCACATAGCCATAGACAATAACTTGGCCTGAGAGTATCTTTACCTGAGGAGAACAGAATATGTAGGTACTTTTTAAAAACGTCTTGTGAGTATTTAAGTTGAAGGCAAAACAGTAGTATCTTTGTCGATGAAGTCATTGTATCTTCTGTATCCTTATTTCTGTGCCTGGAAACTCCAAGAATGTTGCATTAAAGACATATTATTACATAAAAGGGATGGGGGTCATTTGGAATGATTCACTTTCAGTGGAGAAATAGTACACTTGTAAACAATCAATATATTCTAGTAAATCTAGGACGTTGTCCTTTTCTGCTTCTGCAATTGCTTGTCTTTAAGCCTGACGTCCTATGGTAAGCTAATTACGTAATTTTGAAAGTGACAATTTGTTACCTGACAGCACTTTTTACTCAGGAGAAAATGTTTTAACATGTTCACATAAGTACGTGTACCTTCGCCACAAGTGCTGGTACACACGTCATGCAATTGTCTTATTGTTGTGCTAACCATAATTTGTATACATTTCTGTCAATCGACTAATTGCAATATTTAATTAGTGGATCCAGGCTTCATACTTTTTAGAGTTAATGAAATGTGTTTGGCTTTTGTTTGTTTTTAAAAAATAGTGGCACAATGTTGCATATCATGCAATCCTCTTAGGTAGACATCATCAAATTTTATTTTCAAGAAAATTGTATCCTGAGTTATTTATCTGGAACCGACCTCTCAATAGTGTCATGTGACATACCATTGAATAACAATTGTATTACGCATGATGAGGTGCCACATAGTTCAGGTTTAGACCTTAACTATGAGCTTCAACAAATACTAATATTATTGTTCTAATGCACAAAGTTCAATCCAGTCTACCCCTTTATCATTCCAAATACAAACAACAACGAAACAGCAATAAAAATACTTAACAAGAGATAACAAACCATCTTCTTTCATCCCCCCTCCCCCCACACATACCACACGCAAATCACTAAGAAAAAGGATTGTATCTTTAGAAAAGGCAAAGGAATCAAGAACTGCTGAAACCTGTATGCTATCTTGAAGACTACATGGTCCATTGAAAGGCAACACATCTGAGCGGACTCCGGTAGCTTCATGGTCCAGTCTAGCATTGGCCTCTGCCATAAGTCCTTCGTTGAAGGCGTGTTGTATTGATGGTGCAGAGTACAGCCCCTTTCGAGATACTGCTCTATCCATGATTGTACCCTCGACACCGAGGCGAGGAATGATCCAAGTACCGCTCCCAACAGCCAAGTACGTCTGAAAGTGTCGCGACAATAATGTGAAAAAGAGTAAAAAGGAGTAATGCTTGTATCTCTAGTGAGACGGCAATTGTGAATAAATTCACAAGACTGGTATATGAAGAGTAATTCTAGATTTTTTGTTTCCATTGTGAGTCGTCAACCATAATCATGCTTTTTATGTTCAACTGTGAAATATTATATTGGTAGGTCTACTTATTTGCCTTGTAAACTCCATGTACTCGTACCTGCGTATTGTAAAAGTGGATTTTAAACAATACGCAATTTATTGTCGAGCTGTCTTGATTTCTTCTTTTGTAGATTAAAACGAAATTCATTGATTGTGCATTTGTTTGCTTTACATAATTTTGCTGTCATGCACAATGACCATCTCGTCAAGATGAATTACTATTATGAGATAGAATATAAAATATGTTTAATCTTTCCGCGAAACTCATTCTTCCAAATCGTTTTCCCTCAGTTTTAAACGTGTACGCTAACAAAAAAGTGATATAAAATGTAAAGTTAAAGCAACAGCTAACATACATTTTGAGATTCACAATTAGTTGTCTTCTGAAATGTTAGACGTAACAAGAGATTAGTGTTTTCTATTCAAAATACCATTAGAAACATACCTTTGTTTAGACTATTCAATCAAACACACACACACACACACACACACACACACACACACACACACACACACACACACACACAAACACATACACACATAAACACAAACATGCGCGTTTCGCACATACTCCCCCCCCCCTCCCCACACACACACAAAACACACACACACTCACAAGCACACACACAAACACAAACTTACACATACACACCTAAGTACATGTATTCTGGTATACATATAAATGTATCTTTTTGTAGGAAGACATATACTCAACTTCTAATAAAAATGAAACACTGACCTGTGAAGCAACATTGGCCACGTCATTGGCAATGTCAATAGCTGAAAATTTGTTTCCTGTGAACAAACGCAACATGTCAATGTAATTGTCAAAATTGCATTCTATTTTCTTTTTTTATTTGATGTACGATTGGAACTACAAAACTCTATTTTCAGACATGGCTGCTCAAAGTCGGGAACCGGCATTTTAATGCTTGTTAAATATGAGTTTTAATGTACATGTTTTTCAAAGTTATTGAATATTGTAATAATTCTGCTGTAAAAATAATTCAAACAAAGTTCCTAATCAAAATGTGAAATGGTATAGGTTTGACGCCACTATTAACCTTATTTGGTTCATACTCACTTTAGCCAAACATGATACTAACTGGTACATTATCTTGCATCCCATACCTGAGAGGACCAGACCAAATAATATATCCGTGGTATAAGTAGTACCTCACCTACTACAAGTACATTTTTGCCTCGGTATTTCTCATTATTCCTGTAGGTCATCGAATGCTCCTGAAACCCTGGAAAGGTATCGCGTCCTGGTAAGTTTGTTGGATATCGGGGTGATCTGGCAGAGAGATATGTTGACCGTGAAACATTACTTTTTCATGTACAACGGATACAAATAAAATGGATTTTCAATTGCCTTTTCAGGAGAAAAAAAGCGTTTTGAAACCCAGAAGGAAACACACTCAACCTTTTCACAGTCCATGATATTTCGGAAATCCTCGTCACAGTTATATGTATATTCAAGCAGTAACACAATCGACTGTTTTATTGGCTTAACTTCGCTCTGAATCTAATATAATACTTCTTTCTTTCCAAAAGGGACTGTTATTTTCAGTTGTTCCTTATACTCATTTTAAATTCCTCGTAATCAGCTTGACAAACGAATGGATAACAAACAAACAACATCATTTTGTACCTGAAATAACCATTGCAGACGATGACGCAATCAAATAATTCCGTTTGCATGTTCTGTCCTTCAACCGGATTTCCCTCTCTGTCGACTAGAGCTATGTGAACCAACCATTGTCCAGTACGTTCATAAGAGGGAGCTCGCTTGATCTGTGATAATAGTACATTACTGTTAAACGTTATTTTGTTCTTAAAACACATTGTCTGCAAGATAACTTTGAGTTTACATGATACACAGTTCAAATCTGTTATCGAGAGCAATGTTGTTAAAATACTAAATAAAAAATACAACCCCAAAGGAAAAAAACAAACAATAAAAGAAGGAAAGGGAAAAACGAACGTATGACGATGAGGGCTTCTACGATTTTTCCTTCCAGAATATAGTCATAGTAGCGTATACATGTAGAAACCAAATCAACCTGAACACAACATCAGCTACACCCCCCCCCCCCATGCCCCCACAAACATGTTTCTCTTCCAAACCAACATCATTCTTATATAATATAACTATCCTACATGCTATAGTTTCAGGACACAAGCAAGTGGCCCCCATTGGTTTAACTGTATTAGAATAAATGTCATTTCAATTATGATACAGGGATCAGAATCAATAATTTTGCTCATGTTATAATCGCTATAAAGTCCTTAAACATCTTGCTCTTCCAGAATTATCATTATCTTCACAAACGGTTGAAAAGTAAAGAGTAAAGTATGACAAACATAACGTTACAAGGAATTGACAAGAATAGCAGTATTTTTTCTCGCTCAAACTTCACACTTGCAATAAACTATGAACGGCCAGAAATATACAGAGTAGGATCTTTAAGACTAGTTCTGGGAAACACCCATCGGACAAGGCAATTGGGGAAGCGAATACCATTGTAGATTGACAACGAATGATCAATCCTAATACATGTCCCTGAAAAAAAGGGAGGGGGGGGGGAGGAGATCCCCAAGAGACAGTTTTCTTACATCTGCTGGATTCGCAGTAAGGCCTTCTGTACTTTATGTTGAAATGTTATTAGGTCGCTAATATTGTCATGGAATTAAGGGGAAAACGGAATATATTTGAAAAGAGTCTTGATTGCCTTGAATTGTGTTGAAAACGGGATAATAACTTACTGTACATCAACAAGAGTGGGAAAGGAAATATTCATTTCCTTACCTTCATGATTCGGGTGTTGAAAACGATGTACTGACGGAGGTTGAAATGATCTGCATACCTTTCATAGTAAGCCAGCAAAGTCTGTGGACATGCATTGTGGATATTACTTAATTGAATACACCTCCAGTGTGTGTTTCTTTTTTAGTAGATAACAGACGGTGACCACGTTTATGTGTTTTCAAACGTGAATACGATTTAGTTAGCTTGTGGGCGTTTGTGAAGAAAGAGGTCAGAAATAGAAATAAACAGATGGGTAGACAGACTTATTGATTGCAGGATAGATAGATACGGATACAAATAAATAGATAAAGAGAAAAAAAGAATGAGAGAGAGGCAGGGCTAGAGAGAGAAAGAAAGAAAACGAAAGAGAGAAAGAGCGAGAGA